CTTTGTTAAACCCCCCCCCCAGCCACACTCGGGAATACCGATGGATACGCCCGGAAATACGCCCTAAAAGAAGCTCCTGTACTAGTTTGGGCGTAGGGCGTTTTTCAGCGCCTGAAATACGCCCAGGTGGGAACCGCCTGGGTCGCTATGGGATCCTCTGCTGGTGCCTTTCACTGGCGGCTGAAGACGAACACGCCGCTGTTCAGATCACTGACAGTAATCTGTGCAGCAGCGCGTTCCTCTCCACAGAGTCAATGAGAGCCGGCAGTGGAGGAGGAGGCGGGGCCCGTGGTCGGCAGCAGGGGAGGAGGCATAGCCCGGTGACGAAGAAGGAGGCGGACCCGGCGACGGAGGAGGAGGCGGGGCCCATCAGCGACCGTGGAGGAAGAGGAGGCGGACAGGTAAGGAGTGCGACCAGCCCACCTGAGGGTGACCCTGCAGAGCCCAACATAGAGAGTCTATGGTGCACTCTGCAGGGTCACCCTCAGGAGGACGTTGTGGTGGAGAAGAGTCTCCATGATCGAAGGCAACCATTGTCTCCCACCTCCCATGGCGCCATATCCTAAAAAGGATCGGCTTACTTATTTCAGAATACTACAACAAAATATACGCACAACTCCATATTTCCCAAAGACAAGGCAGTGCTTGAGATAGACCTGCAGAGGGCACAAGATGTTATCAGCTGACACAATTTCCTGGCAGGTTCAACAGGTACTTTCCTGACCTTATCGAGCCGATGTAATAAAACGCCTCCAGTGATATATTTACCGGACATGAAAATGGACCCAATAAAAGAAGTTCGTTGTCACGGTTACATAAACGTTATGATATATGGATGCGGCCCATTTGAAGGAATGGTGGCGCAGAAGCGGACTTTGCTCCAGGAAACGTGTTGGGAGAATATTGCTGGAAGTCATCCTGAGCAAATATACAAAAGATGTTATGACTGTCATACGTTTCTGTTATTTTATGGTTCACAATTCTGAAATATCAATGGCGGAGATAAGGGGACTGATATAATAACGGCTGGTGACAGTCCAATCTTTAACTTTCTATCTCCCCATACTCCACCTGTGTCTAAAATATCGCTCTTGGACAGAATAAGCTCATAGGCTTAAGACAAGGGGTAGGCAACCTCGGCACTCCAACTGTGGTGAGACCTCAAATTCCATCATGCATCTGCCTCCGGGAGTCATGCCTGTGGCTGTCAGAGTCTTGCAATGCCTCATGGGACTTGTAGTTCCACAGCGGCTGGAGTGCCAAGGCTGCCAGGGCCGGATTTCCCACAAGGCCAACCGAGGCCCGGCCTTGGGGCAGCAGGGAGAAGAGGGGCAGAAGGGGTGTGGAATTCCTATCTCCCGATGCCCGGGCGGGTAGTTGTTTTCTACATTTAGCCCGGCTTTGGCCAAGCAGAGCTAAATGTACAGCGGGGAAGCCGCCGCTTGTTCTGTACAAGTGATCTTGGCGACATTGTATGCAGCCTGCCATTCTCCATGGGGGTGGGGTGGGATTGGCGGGTTGGGAAAGAGGGGAGAGACACCGTCCGACGTTGGGGTCCCTTAAAAATTTCCTCGGCCAAAAAGGGGTCACGAGTGGAGAAAGTTGGCCTGCTATAGAAGACAGACAGAATCTGGAACAGTGCGCTATGGCTTTTTCACGCCATACCGCACTGCGCCGCGTGCATTTTTTTTTGCTTTGAGATGCATTCACATGACCTGTATGTCTCCAGCACATTACTCTGTCATCATTCCACGCACAACATCTGCAATTTCTAATCAGGCTTACGAGGCGATTGACTGCGCCGGCAGAAATGACCGATGAAGTAGCGACGTAAATCTGCAGTCTTTCCCTTCTGCAGCTATGATATTGTCATGTTTCAGGCACTGGGATCGAATGTTGAGCCACCATACAATGCCCAGATGGCGCTCAGGGTGTGGCACAGTCAGGGCTCCTCATGGTGCCCTTGTTTCCTGAGGGAACATCAAGCACCGAAAAACCACAGAACTCTCTGTACAGACAGATGAAAAGATTTACAGCTGCGACTGTCTTTATAGCCCGCGAGACCCGGAATGTTTATTTCCTTGTTACCTGTAATTCCTCATTAATGTTTTATGAGCTCAGATGAGTCTGTTACCTTTCCCTCCACCAACCGAAAAGCATACTGGTAGCTTGTGTGTGACTTAGAGTGCAAGCTCCTCTGCACAGAGACTGATG